GCTATTTGTATGTCGAATAATAAAGTTCAGTTCAATCGACGCTATTTATTTATCACTATACCAGCACTATTAACAACTGAAAATTCGACATCAATTTATTCAATTCAATTATTCAAACACCGTCCAATGTCTTGAAGGAGGATGGTACCTACACCGAGGGGAGGGAGGAGACCAGCAGATTTCTTCTGGGCAAATACTTCCCCAAGGACGATCCTCTGAGACACCCCGACTGGGCGCTGGTGGAGAGAGAGAGAGGATGAAGAATGGGGAGAAAATCAGCCTGGATTTACTATCGGGGAGCTGATAGCTGTGGCTGGGTAGCTGCTTGATGGGAAGTCAACAGGAATGGATGGGGTCCCGAACGAAATTATTCGTAAGGTGATGGAATGGAAGGGAGAGTGCATGGTGGAACTATTCAGCGCCTGTCTGGGGAGAGAGCATTTTCCCGGAACGTGGAAGCGAACAAAGGTTGTATGGATACCGAAGAAGGGCGGAAATCCCAGGCCAATCAGCCTACTGACTGGCATGGAACGGATGTTGGACAGGCATCTTAACGGTAGGATGCAAGTATGATGTGAAAGAAAGTTGAAATTCTCCCCGAATCAATTTGGGTTCAGAGGGGGAATGGATACCGTAATGGCAGTAGAGAGAATGGTGAGTAGAATAAAGGAAAACAAGAGAGGTACGAGACATAGTCTGAGTGAACTGGCAGGGAAATCGAGGAGGTGGACCGGAAAAAATGTTGGATTAAAGAGATAATGTGTAAGGATGATATATGAAAGGGTGGCCAAACCTGCGGCATTGTACGGGGTACAAGTCTGGGGGGAAAGGGCGCATGATAGTAGGGTGAAAAGACAACTGAGATTTTTTTAATAGACACAGGTGCCGATTTGTGCGCGTTTCCGCATAAACTTGTTCGTGGCCGTCGAATGAAAACCAGGTTCGAGCTATCAGCGGCTAACGGTACAACTATCGCCACGTACGGCCTAATCCCGATAACTATCAACCTGGGTCTCCGCCGCGATTTCACGTGAACTTTCTGATCGCGGATGTGGCGCAGGCGATTATCGATGTGGATTTCCTGTCCCATTTCGACCTACTCGTTGACTTACGCAATGGACGCTTACTCGACCGCACTACGAGTTTGAACGTCGCGGGACAGGAGTCACAGTGCTCGACGGTCGCGGGTATCAAAACAATCGCTGGCGGTTCACGATATAACTAGCTGCTTCAGCAGTTCCTGGCAATCACTCGTCCCGATGGTGCGTGCAAAATTACGGATAACGTGAAGCACAAAACGGTGCACCATATCCACACGACACCAAGTCAGCCCGTCGCCGTCAAACCGCGACGCCTTTCCCGAGATCGACTCAACGCCGCCAAGAAGGAGTTCGAGTCCATGCTGCGACTGGGCATCTGCCGTCCTTCTGAGAGTAGCTGGGCTTCTCCTTACCACATGGTGCACAAGAAAGGTGACGAATGGCGTCCCTGTGGCGACTATCGTGCGCTAGTCCGCGCCTATCATCGATCCCTGTAGCTCCAGAGGATATCCCGAAAACAACCATCACTACGCCATTCGGGATGTTCGAGTTCCCAGCGATGAGCTTCGGTCTCCGCAACGCAGCACAGACCTTCTAGCGATTCATCGATGAGAAACTACGTGGACAGGATGCATCAACACACCCAAATGCTGTTTTGGAGAGCCAGAAGTCAAATTCCTTGGATACTTTGTGTCTGGCAAAGGCACGCAACCCCTTCCTGAGAAGGTCTCCGCAACCCAGGAGTATCCACGGCCCGAAACAGCAAAAGACCTCCGGCAGTTCCTAGGTATGATTAACTTTTACAGACGTAGTTCTGAGTAGTTCTGCTAGGACCAAGGCCCCACTCAACGACCTCCTCAAGAACAACATCAAGGGGAAGAAGCTAATTGCTTGGAACGACACCGCCGATGCTGCAGAAATGGTGTACGGAGAACCACTTCGACTTCCTGGCGAGTTCCTAGCATCAACCTCCACCAGGGACATAGACGACTCTGCCAACTTCATACGTGAGCTACGCCAGCACTTCCAGGCGATCAGGCCGGTCAGCGGCACCAGGCACGGCAAGCGAAAGCTCTTTGTCTTCAAAGACCTCGCTACCGCCAGCCACGTCTTCGTCAAGCACGACGCTTCAGGAGGACCGCTTCAGCTGCCCTACGAAGTTGTTTCCCGAGCCGAGAAACACTTCACTCTTGCAATGCGAGGCAGAAACGTTCCAGTGTCCATCGACCGTCTCAAACCAGCCTACATCATCCCCGAGGACATCGCTGCACCCGAAGATAATCTGGATGGTGACGACACCTTTATTCCTACTACTCCAGGAGATGATCAAGCTCCGTTACAACAGGAACCATCATCACCACCTGCCTGCAGGACGCGCTCAGGTCGTCGTGTTCGATTCACCAAACGCTACCAGGCAGGCTTCAGTTGAATAATTTTGCAACCTATTCTTTCATTTTGACGATTTGATTAGTAATCACAAGATGAAATAATTTGTAAACCTTTTTTTCTCTCATCCACGCAAATTTCACAAATCTCCTCAACAATTTCATACAGTTCAATAAATTTTTGTATATTCACGTTCAAATACTCAAAAATCAAGTTTTTCTCGTTTCATCATTCCTTCAACGCAATTCGATTTCAGTTTTAAACTCGCGATTCAACTTCAACATCTCAAAAATTGTATCTTTGCAAAAAATCTATTTATTTGAATACAATTCTGATTTCAGTCTGTTTCATTGTTGCAAAAATTTATTAAACTTTGAGCAGCTCAAATAACTCGCACTTAGTATTTCTCAATACTTTAGTTTACGAAGTTTTTTTCATATATTATATCCGCTTTTACTGTTATATAGTTCATCACTGGCAAAGGGGTACTGTAGGGACTTTACCACTACTTAGTATAAAAACATTTCATTTCTCTATTGTCAAGCAGTCATCCAAAACGAACACTGTAATCACTCGATTCTAGAGTATTCGAATACCCGAAATTTGTGTTGGCTAGACTGAATTTCTGTTTCCGCCAGGTGAGGAAAAATCTTAGGAAAATAGCCACAGCATACCTAACAATCAGCCCTTGGGCGGAAAAAGTACGATCATAAACTTCGCGTCGCTATGTCGGCCATGTTGAAAAGCGGTGGACCTGTCAAGTTTGATTTTGGTATTAAATTGTGTTTTGCTTCATTTCGTGAGTGTTTCATTATTATTACAATAGATAAACAGAAAAAAGGTGGTCATGTTTGTGCTGTATTGAACTGTAGAAGCAGCAGGTTAAAGACTAATAGGAGTTTATTTACGTTTCCAAAAGATATTGATAGGTGAGTTGAACTCTTTCATAAATATTATTTGAATATATCTTGAGGTAAGAATGTCTTGAAATCAATGCTTGAAATCCATTTTCTGTATTTTCTCTTCCCTGGAAAAAGCTTGGAATTGTTATATTATCTGTCTATGGCAAATTGGTATATTTGCCCCAATACATAACTGCAATATTGCAATACTTCCCCTTAGCAACATTTCGGAAGTTACTCTGCTGCCCTTTTCAAGCCTTTTTTGAAATATTTTCAATTGAATTACACCTACAGAACTCAAGATTTTTTTCATTTTCAGGGTGGAGAAATCCTAAAATATGGATTCCTGAAATCTTTCATAATCGTTAGGTAGAATCTAAGCATTTCCCTGTATTAGGATCACTTAACTAGAAAACATTTTATGTTGGATATATTCAACGAACATTGAGGAGACAAGCATTCACTTGTTATTCTTCAATATAGCTAAAATCCAACACATTTTTTTAGGGCTATCCTTTGGACAGTGGCATGTATGTGGTCGTGATGATCTGAGAGAAAAAGCTGGGAATCTGCATGACTACAATTTTGTGAAGGGCATTTTGAGAACAAACACTTTCTCAATCACCTGGTAGTCTGGTTCACATGTACTCGATTTAGCTCTTTTTGGTGACATTTTTCAGCCCTGTCCAAAAATTACGACCAAGGTGTCATTCGATTCGTATTTTTTCCTAGAAAGTTTGAGGAAAGG